CCTCCCAGCCGCTTCCCTCTCCTCTCCGCCCCCTCCACCACCCAGCAGCTCCCCTGCGCTCCTGGCCTCCTCCTCTTCCCTGCCCTCTCGTGGGTCCCGCACTGTCCTCCCCTCTGCATTTCTCCTCAGGGTCCCGAGGACCTGCATCCCTCTGCTTCCGTCGTCATAGTGGTTACGTCTTCTCTGCACCGGAAGGAGAACCCGCGAACACTTTTGGAATTATGGCGGCGGTGGATATCCGAGGTAACCCGTGCTGTCAGCCTTCGTTTCTTGCTGGTCGGGTCTGGTTTGGGGCTCTCTAGCTCGCGGGGCAGGGGTCAGGCTCCTTTGTGATGCCTCCCAGCTCTTCCTGTGGACGACTCAAAGCCTCACTCTGGCGAAAAGTAGCCTGGTTTTCCCCGCTTCGCGGTGTCTCTTAGAAGCGTGGAAACCAGGGGCTTGGGAAGGTTGGGCTTTGAGCCCTCAGACCGCAGTGCTTTTCACACGCATGTTTCTGCGGTAAACGTCGGGGCTGCGGGGTGAAGGGATGGCCTGTGGGCAGGGTGGGAGCTGAGGGACGGACCGGCGGGACTGGGTCCACCCCTGGGGACTTGGCGTCGCGGCTGCTTTCTTTCTGACATCGCGCCCTTTGCGCCCCTGAGCTTGAACCCCGAAGATTTTCTTCTGTAAGTTTTATGTTTGAGTCTGCAGTACCTCCCGTCAAACACCCAGCAGTTACGGAGGGGTCGTTTCTTTTTTACCGCTGAACTGCCAAGGCACTCAAATATTTGTCGACCGGTGAATAGATATATGGAGGCGCATTCCCCTCGTCGCTGCTCGATCTCGGGAGGCATGAAGCTGTACATCCATCCTCTTCTCTGCCCACCTCCACACCCCCGTTTCAGTGAATTTGAAAACCGAACCGATCCAAACAAAAAAAGCCTAGAAGTTGTGCTCTGGTATTCCCGGGAGGGAACCAGCCGGAAGGGCGATTGAAGAACAGCTGAGGCGTGGGAACCTGGTTCCCAACAGGCCAGGTTCCCCCAGGCCGGGAGGAGGGATCCTGGAAGCTCCCGGGAAAAACTCGGCGCGGAGCGCCCGCCATGATCGTTACCTTTTCGTGCGGTGCTGTCTCCCACGACACTTCCTGCACTTGCAGGAAACGCTCAAGGTGGATGTATTACCGCTTGAAACGTTGTGGTACTTTTAAGGAAGTGTGAGTTTTTGTTCCTGGGTGCAAGC